TCCGATGCTGTCTTTACTGGCATTAGAATGAGAAAATAGGAGGCTCAGATAGGAGGATGGAGTGCTTGAGACAACCCTGAACAATGTAGCCAGATTCTGTCATAAAATTAAAAAAATAAAATAAAATAAAATAGGGGCTGAGGATTAGCTGGGGATGTGAGCGGGCAGAACATCTGACGTAATGTCCGAGGCCTTGGGTTTCTTCCTCAGTAGCATACAAACACAAAAGGTGTTTGGTTATTGCTTATATTTTTAACTGCTCTATTTAGGTTTTTTTAAAAGACAAAATTTTAAAGCTTTTTACTTTTGTCTAATTTTTTAGATTCATTCTATATTGCCCAGGCTGGCGCTATTATTCTGGATCAAGTGATGTGCTTCCCTCAGCCTCCTGAGAGCTGGGCCTGTGGGTGAAAGCCACCATGCCCTGCTGAAGACAACATAAGATTTTGAGTTTCCTTCCCACTATTTTAAAATTACTATGTGTTTGGGGCAGGGGATGTGGCTCAAGTGGTAGCGCGCTCGCCTGGCATGCGTGCAGCCCGGGTTCGATCCTCAGCACCACATACAAAGATGTTGTGTCCGCCGAAAACTAAAAAAATAAATATTAAAATTCTCTCTCTTTAAAAAAAATCATTCATTAAAAAAAAATTACTGGGCTGGGGATGTGGCTCAAGCGGTAGTGCGCTCGCCTGGCATGCGTGCGGCCCGGGTTCGATCCTCAGCACCACATACAAACAAAGATGTTTGTTCCACTGAAAACTAAAAAATAAATATTAAAAAATTCTCTCTCTCTCTCTCTTTAAAAAAAAATTACTATGTGTTTGATTATTGGGCACTAGGATGGGATGCAGGACTTTGTACATGCCAGGCAAGATCTCCACCACTCAGCTACTCCCCAGCCCCCTGAAATAATTTCTTAGGATATTTGGGCCTATGTTCTCCACAAGGCAAGAATAAGGAAGAAGTGTGACGTTAATTGGCTACTTGCTGCTTTATTTGCCCAGCTATTGAACACTGGTCTAAAGTAGTTAGGCCAAGTGAATTTTCTGGATAATGATAAATTCGTTTTCCACTGACTTCTCTAGATGGCATCTTTGCTATTTGCTGAGTAATAGGATGTCAGTGTCCCTATTCTTTTCTTAATTTCTGATCCTCCTCCTCTAGCAGCTGCATGAATAGCCTAATGAGGACTGTTTCTTACCACAGTCCCTGTTTTTTGCTACTTTGTTTTAAACAAATTTATTTCTCAAATCCCCTTCCTCTTTTTGGGGTGCTGATTGTAGAAGCCACTTCTTCTTGTCCCTTGTCTTAGATGATATCCAGGTCCAAGCTAAAGGAAAATTCATAATACATTCAACTTTTTAAAAGATTTTTTTAAAATTGTAGATGGAAGCAATACCTTTATTTTGTTTATTTATTTTACTTGGTGCTGAGGATCAAACCTGTGCCTCACACATGTGAGGCAAGTGCTCTACCACTGACCCATAACCCTAGCCCCTACATCCAACTTATTTAGGGGACACAAATGTCAGAATTAAGTGTATTACCCTGTTTGTCATCCCTTGTTCTTTGTGAACTATAGAGGAAAAGTTTTTGTTAGTTCTGTAAAACTTTTTTTTTTGCTACCCCAGTGCAGGGGATAGAACCCAGGTCCTTGAGCACACTGGACAAATGCTGTCCCACTGTGCTATGTCCTCAACCTTTTGCAGAACTCCATCCCCCCTCACCGCCTCCCGTACTGGGGATTGAACCCAGGGCCTTGTGCATGCTCTGTGTAGAGCTCTTAACTGCGCTGTTCATGATTTCTGATCAGTTAACCAAAAGCTAGGGGAAGGTTTCCTGAGAAAAATACTGGAATTAAAGAATGCCAACTTACCTCTCTGTTCTAATGTGCTAATTCCAAGCCCACAGGAATCAGTAATCACCTTGTGCCTTAGGAGGACTCTTATGATTAGTATGAACCAGACTGAAGTTAAGGACAACTTCCTGATAATGTTTTCTGCATCCCAAATTTGATCATAGTGAGAGTAGAGGCTGAGGTCTGTACCTACCTGCAGCCTGGTGGACAACAAGGAAGCTGGGAGTGCAGATTAACCTCTGCCCCCGCCTGTCCAGCACAGGCTCACTTCATGTGTGTATCACTTGGCTTTTGTTTCTATAAATTGTAAGAGCTTCTGTGGGACCAGCAGGGGAAGCATTGTAATGTTTTCTAAATACATTAAACTGTATAAAGTTCATTTTTGCATCCTTTGCCTATTTCTTATGGTGGAATCCAGTTCACTGGGATCCAGACAGGGTCCTTGGGGTAGGCTTTGAATAGTAATAGTAAAAAATATTAGAGAATATTTTAGATAAAGAAATGCCACTGCTGACCTGATTCATGTATTCCCCACCCAAAGGCATCCTGATTCCTCCTCTTGCCTGAGTTTCTGTCACATCTCTCATGGGTTTGCTGTAGAAAACAATGAACCCAGTGACACATTTGAACCACAATAGCCATTAATTTTTCTCAGTCTTTGTGCTAATTCCTCAATATTATAAAACAATGCCTGATCCTTGCCCTTTTCCCTAAAGGTGTGCTATGTAGACATTTGACTTTTCTCATTTTAAGAGCTGTTATAGAAAAATAAAAGGTTTTATAGGTTAAGAAACTTCATCCCTTCTCTTTCAATTTGTCTTTTCACACAACTTCACTTTCACAGAAATTGAGGTGGTAGGCATCAGCCAGAGGGCCAGAGGCCATCTGATCACTACGAGGTTCAACTTTCAGCCCATGAACAAACCCTCACCCAACAGTTTCCATGTGAAGTCTCAGCAAAACACTCCATGCCAGAACCAAGAACTGACGTCACTTATAACCTCCAAACTGGAATGCATTAGGAGGTGTATTTTCCATATTAGAATCTCCGCTTTCTAAGGAGCAAAAAAGTTTGTGTGGGTAGCCGTGATTTTTGCAAATATTAGTTGAGTTTTGCAACATGTCCCCTTGTTCCAGTGCCCTCACACACTGTCATAGTTCTGATACCTATTCATACACCTAGCTTCCCATGTTACTGATTGTGGGAACCTCATCAGAAACTGTAACTTTCCTAAAACCTTCTGTATGAAGGGCAAAGCAATAATTTGAATTATTCTTAAAGTCCAGTGTTTTTTGTTTTTGTAAAAACAACAACAACAACAAAAAAAACACTGTATGACCCTCCAAAGCAGTGTTGACAGTTGTACCAGTTGCTTACTGCACAAGGGCAGTCTGGGGCAGGAGGCTGCAAATGTCAGAGTGCCATCTGTGCCCTGCTCACCACAGCCTTTTCCTAATTTCTGTAAGATACTGTGTAGGCTCTTCCAAGTACATAGCATGTTCCACTACAGAAAAATAAGGAAGGCAGTTTCCAGGGATTCTAATCGCAGCTGATCTTTGCTTTAGATGCTGAATGAGATGCCTTGTGGGTGCAGAAGAGCTGATTGTGCTGGTGGCTTCTCTTGCTTTCGTGGTTAATGTGTTGAGTGGTTTTGCTTGTAAGCAAGGCTAGGCATCCTGACACAGAATCATCCTCAAGTGTTAAGGGAACCAGGTGCAGGTGGCACCATGGCACATTTTTCTCTTTCCCTTCCCCTAGTCCTTGATCCTCTGTTCCTCCTCCCTGGCTGATGCCATAGGCCTGTAGTGTGGATGTGGAGCAAGGTGGAGAATACCTGTAGGCTTTGCTCCTTCCATTCAGAGGTCACGACCAGGAGAACTGACCACACACATCTTGACCCATGACCTCCCAGTGTAAACCCTTCCTCTATAATCCACAGCACAATGTCACATCAATTCTTGCCTTGCTAATAGAGCCTGACTCTATATCAGGGGAGAGTGGGATTCATACACTGTGTTGTAGTTACCTCCTTTACCAAGAGGACTCCATGGAGAGTCGACAACTGTCCTTTTCTTAAAATATCAATACATCCCATCTTCCCTTTAGCCCCCATCTGGCTTTCTTGTTTCCTGGTCCTCCAAATGTTGATGTTTATTCCACAGGACCCCAACCAGAAAGCAGCCTCATGGTAGCTCCCATGGGAGTTGTTCTCAGGGATATTTACAAGGCCTTGTCATAAGCTCACAGTAGCCACTGCTGAGTCTTACCCTGCTCCCATATTTTCCGAGGGAACCTCTTATAGTGATATTGTTAACCTCAGTGGGTCATCTCTACACCACCAGAAGAAACAATGTTCAATTTAAACCAAGTTTTTGACATTTAAAAAAAATTTTATATTTATACATGGACACAATATCCTTATTTTTTAAATTTATTTGTATGTGGTGCTGAGGATTGAATCCAGTGTGCCTGACATGTGTAAGGCAAGCGCTCTACCACTGAAACACAACCCCAGCCCTGGTTTTTGACATTTTTAGTTACTGGTTTGCTACCCCATGAAAAGGGGGTTGAAATACATGTTCCCTGTTGAGTCTGTAATGGGTCTGCTCCTTCATGATTTCTAGTAAGAGAATTGTACTGTGCATATGAGCTGTTGGCAAGCATCAAACAATTGATTTTGCCTAGTCCTATTTTCCGTGGTGTTGTAGTCTTCTACTTTTCTCTTCAGATTAAAAGTGTCCATTAATACCTCATTTCTTTTTCTGAACTCAAGGGCACTTGACTATTAAACCACATCCCCAGCTCTATTTTTAACCTTGCTCTATACTCAAGAAAGCATATCAGACACAGAATGAAAAAACTGACACCAAGACCTGTGGAAGGTCAAGATTTTGTGAATCATCAGTGTGATAGAAAATAGTCTGAAATTACTTGCTGTTCAGATTTCTTTTCCATCAGTTTAGATTTGATTATTTTTTTCAAAGGGCTTCTTTTGGATGAAAATCTCTCCCCTAATGAGCCTAATTGTAATGACTGCTGCATGTATGAGTGTGTATGGAGGCATCTGTGTGATTCACCCTATTTCTACTGTGATGTAAATCTTAATTTTTAAAAAAGCCCACTCAAAAACATTCAAAATAATAGCGTCACTTAAAAGATTTATTTCAAATGGTGGCCTTCATATTGCAGGCAGCATCTGTTTGCTTTGAGTATTTGTAACCTTTTGGTCACACTGGATACCCAGCCCTAGGGTGGTGTGTGCTGAATGCTGACCAAAATAGGAGATTTTTCTTTTCTGATGAATTCAAACTCATGTAGTTTCCAAAAGCAAATTTAAACTCTTAAGGAACAGAAAAAAATGTTTCTGGTTAAGAAGAAACTGTGTATTAGTCCCTCTGTGCTCTTGTCCATAAGCTTCCCCCAAGTAATCACATTGTTTTGTTTGTTCATTTTTTGTTGTTGTTGTTGTTTCCAGGTTGTGGGGATTGAAGCCAGGGGTGCTGTACCACTGAGCTGCAATCCTAGTCCTATTCATTTATTTTGAGACAGGGTCTCACTACATTGCATAGGCTGATCTTGAACTTCTGATCCTCCCATTTCACCCTCCAGAAGAGCTGGCATTCCAGGTGTGCACCACCACATCCAGACCAAAGCATTACATTTGCAGACATAGGACTTTACTGTTGAAGGTGACACAAGTGATGTGGGCCCAACACACATCGCCACACTTCCAGACTGAATCCTAGACCGTGGCTTCCAGGTGTGAAAGGCCCATTCTGAACCACTGCTAACCTGAAGCTTTTCCTTCCATAAAGGAAAGGTTCTACCTGAGTGAGTTGCAATTACCTGTATTTATTTGGACCCTGTCTCTCAGAAGGGGAAGCACTTCACCTGCATAACTGATAAATCTAACAGTGTTTGTCTTTTATGCCTAGAGGCCTGTTCTGTCCTGAGGCAGATTCCATGCTTGGACGAACTCAGTGGGGGTTGGGGCTGAAAACAATTATGATAAGTTTATTAATAGGACATCTGGCATTCCATGAGCTTCCAAATGTTATCAAAGCCTTGACTTCTTGGAAAGAGGAAAAATATATTTAGCTGCTTGATTTTGGACACACTGGTTTACATGGGCCCTCATATTGTCATGACACCTTTTAAATAATTTTCTTGACTTAAACACAAGGAAATCGGGCAGGGGTTGTGGCTCAGTAGTAGAGCACTTGCCTAGCATGTGTCAGGCACTGAGTTCAAATTGCCACACCACATAAAAAAATAAAGATATTGTGTCCATCTACAGATAAAAATATTAAAACCAAAACCAAAACAAACAAACAAAAACCAAATCTGCAAGGAAATCAAACTAAACATCTGTGTTGAGGCCAGAGTTTGCCATGGTCTGGGAACAGCACCTTGGTCCAGAACCTCTGAGCCATTTGGCTAGGATTTCACACAGATTATATTTATCACTCTCTTGGAAACATAATGAGCCCTGCTTTTAGCAGAAATTTAAATATGTATGGGGTATGTGCAGTTCTCCTTCTTAATAAACAGCAATTAAAAAAAAATCAAAAATCACTAAGTATGTTTTCCCTTCTGCCTTACAACTTATTTTTCAATGTAATTTTCAAATGGGAACCTGTAAGCTGTTGAGATAAAGGCACAAGGTACACATGTAGGAGATGGCAGATGAGACCCACTCAAAGGTGGGCAAGTTGACTTTTTCGTCCAAAATACATCAATGTAGAAATTTCTAAATGGGTCACCAGCTGAAAATATCCTGAAATCAGGGAGAAAGAGCTCTTCTCCGGGCCTCTCTTTTCCAAGATATCTATTTACGTGGCCATGGCTCCTCTCTGGAGGCAGCTACACTGCTGTCACAACGTCAAATTTAGCCTGTTGTGCTTCCGCAGTCATCTATTCAGTCCATCTCCTAAGCAAGAAAAGAACACCAGTCAGAATAGCCAGTTTAATTCACAACCAGGATTTAGTACTTAAGACATTTACTAGTGTCTTAACAGAAGGGAAGCTGGGGTACAGTGCCTCCAGATCCTGTTAATCCTATATCCCTGCACCCTCCCTTCTGTTACACAAGGGCAAGTACAAAACCACAGGCTTTCCAAAGGCTCAGAGGTAAATTCAAGCCTCTCCATAATCCCTTCAGTTAAGACATGTTAGGAGGTCAGAGGGATCACTGTTCCCTTTAAGCTGTATCTATTTGGTACCCATCAGTACAAATGTTGACATTTTGCCTCTTATTCCTCAAAATGGTTGTTGGTTGGGGGGAGTCCTGTTCAGAGACTTTCTCTGGCTTCTTTCTTTTCAAGAGTTCAGCATGTTTTACCCCCTATTTTGTAGATGCCTTTATAACTGAACACCATAGCATGCAGCAGAGGCATTTAAGGCCTATCAATAACTATTCACAGGGTTAGATGCTATTTTATTTAAAAAGTAAGCCTGAATAATGCTCTGACATGTTGAAAAACTTCAGACACTGATGTTTTAAAATTTGAAATAAGATACATCCACCTATCTTCCACTGGGGTTTATGAAACTGAAGCATCAGTCTTCAAGGATGTCTTGCTTACCCTTTTTAGGCAGTGTCATGAAGACTGACTTTTAATGTCTGGGTTATGTGACAGATATGCTCTCTGTGTATAGGAAAATGCACATCATCTCTGCTCCCCGATCCTTTTTGACTATTCCTTTTGGTTTCTCTCCCCATTCTCCTCTGTAAGCATGTATTCTGAGAATCTGCACTTATGTTTGTGACAAGGTGAAGCTGAGGGCAGACTGAGGAAGCGCAGCCTAGGTCCCTCTGGCCACTTTCTTTCATGCCCACCATGCTTCCTCACGGTGTGAGGTAGGCTTCACGTCCCTCCCGACAGCAACATGTCTTGTCACTGCTTTCCTTGCGCTTTCATCATCGGGGAGATCAGAGTGAGGAGGGCTGAGAGAGGCCCCATAGCAGAGGGCTCTGCTGGGTTCTAGGGTTCTTTGAGGAAAAAGGTATGGGCAGCAGGCAGAGACCAGGGGACTCCAGGAAATGGAAAGGAGCTGGCATCAGTGATTCTTACGTTTCTGACTAAGTCCCGCACGTAGGTGAATAGGTTCTGGTTAATAAAGTTGACTGTTGCACGAAACACATCATGGAGTAAGGATGGTGTATGATTGGCCACCTTTTTGGCCAATAGCATGGTCATAATCAGCATGGTCTTCTCGTTCTCCATGTCTTTAGGGTAAGTCTGCATTGCTGCTTTCAGGGTGGTGTCCAGGCAGTTGCTTCTGTCCTATACAGAGATAAAGACAGTTTACTAATAGTCTTTCCTCTTACAGTCCCTGGTGGTAAGTACAAAGGGGCATCTCAGAAGGAAGTACTGATGGAATAGCTAAGGCTACAGGACAGAGAGAGGGATAGACAATTTAGTTTTGAGGCAATGCAAAGGGAACAGGAGACTACTTCCTGCAGGGAATGCTCATTAACCCAATACACATTTACTGAACACTGTATGTTATTTAATGGAACACAAGGAGCTGAAGTCATTCCCTTTCATAACCTCAAAAGACTGATAACTATCTCCAGCAACTTAGGCCCATCTTACTACTGTGCACCCTAGCTTAAGGGACACGCAGAACCTTCCTACCAAAGGTGAGAGGCAAATACTAGACCACTGGACTTGAGAGACCTTAGGCTCAATGACTTACATGCACAATTACCCTTGTGGGAGGTGTCCCAAGGCAGTGCATAGCCAGATGCTTCTGTATTCTTTGACAGCTGCTGGAGAACAGCAGATGGGGAGAGAATGCCAGACTGAAGACCAGCTGTCATGGAAGGGGGTGCCCAACAAGGTAGTGAGGTTATCAGCCTTCTCAGTTGGTAGAAGTCAAAAGAATTAAACTTTCTCTCCTCTCACCTCCTACAGCTACAAGTATTTATTTGAAGGCTTTAGGGTGTGGCCTGCACCAATCTTTGGTTGCCCCAGAGCAGCAATATCTGTGTAACTAAATACAGCCATGAAGCTGGGAAGAGGAGAAGGCTAAACTATCACTGTTTTTGTTATACCTGGGAAAGTAACTGAAAATCCTGTGTTGGCATCTTTACTCTCCAAAACAGAAAAAAAAAAGTTATTTTGGGAAGAGTCAGATATATTTTGCTGGGGCTGGGGATATAGGTCTATTGGTAGAGTGCTTGTCTCTCATGAACAAGGCCCTGGGTTTTATCCCCAGCACCACAAAAAAAAAAAAAAAAAAGATATACTTTAATTCATCTTTCTTGAGTCTTCTATCCCTCTCACTTATAAAGGTTCAGGTTTTCTAAATCTCCACTAAATTCTCCTGAAAGACAATCATGCTCTAACTCCATTCCCAATTCTCTTGTCAAAGCTCCAGATAGACAGTCATGGAGCTATCTCAGGGGACACTGGTCTTCTGATGAGAGACAGAACAGGCCGTGGCTCCAGTGACACTCATAAAAGCCCATCTTACTCAGAAGTAACAATAGTGTATTCCCTCACTTACTTCCTCTGACAGTCCAGCATTCATAAAACGTGCCACCAGTTCATTCACCAGTTCTGGCTGGATGCTACGGTCCATTTCATCCCCGACTTGGGCAAGATGCCGGGCAATGTTCTGTATAACTTCTTCTTGACTTTCAGAATCTGAAAGGCAGAGGGCAATAAGGACAAAGACGATTCAGACAATGGCCCCATTAGATACTCTCATCCCCCTCCACCCCTACACAGGAAAGGAGTCTGCTTTGGAAGAAGAACAGACAGCTCCTGCCTCCACAGCACAGGCTCACAGTCCTCACTGATATTGGCTCCACTCAGCTTGAGCCCCTGTTGACTTCTGGACTGGCTGTGGCTGTGGGACCAGGGAAAGGCCTGAGTGAACAGCAGACTAGCTCCAGAAGCAGGCCTCTCCTTGAACACAGACTTAAGAACTGTCCCCAAAGAGGGTCAGTCATGCTCTAGCAGTCTTCATCATGGGCTTCAAAGAAGAACCTGGCAGCAATCTTCAGGGCTATCACCTGTTAAGTGTTGATGTATAACACTTAACAGGTGTCAATCTTAGAAGCTTTTAGGAAGGAAGATTTACAGTCAGACCAGGTTTGAGTCCCCCCCCCCCACTTCCTGGCCATGAGAATTTGAAGCATATGTCCTACTTCCTTACAGGGAAGAGGTAGAGCTGACTCCCCTCCCCAATCTTACCTCATTAAGTAAAACCCCAGGTTTTCTCTATCACTTACCAGGCCCTATATGATCTGCCCCACCTGGCCAACTAAGATTCTGCTACCTGACTTTAGTCCCTCCACAGTATTCCTGGCCTCCACACATGCTGCCCCTTCTGCCTAAACGACACTCCCCAACAGAACACAGCTCCTTCCTCACCTCCTTTATTCTGTCCCAGTCTTTTCCTCTTTCTTTTTCTTCCTTGACACATTTCACATTACCCTAATCATAATTCTATGATTTGTTTGACACCCCTCAACCAGAATATAAACTCCCTAAAAGGGGGAGGAGTCTAGTACTGAGGATTAAACCCAGGGCCTCATATATACTAGGCAAGCAATACGCTATATTACCAGCCATTTTTAAATTTTATTTTGAGACAGGGTCTCACTAACTTGCCCAAGCTAGCCTCAAATTTACTATCCTCCTGCCTTAGCCTTGTGAGTTGCTGAAATTATAGGCATGTGATACCATGCCCAGCAAACCTATAATTCTGAAAAACAGTTTGGTTTACTGTTAAATATTCAGCACTTTAACTGACACAGGCACAGAGCAGGTGCTCAATACACAACTGTCTGGAAGCTGGACATTATGGCACATGCCTATGATCCCAACAACTCAAGAGGCTGAGGCAGGAGGATCGTAAGTTGGAGGGCAATCTCAGCATTTTTTTTTTTTTTAGAAAGAGTGAGAGAGGGGAGAGAGAGAGAGAGAGAGAGAGAGAGAGAGAGAGAGAGAGAGAGAGAATTTTTAATATTTATTTTTTTTTTAGTTCTTGGCGGACACAACATCTTTGTTGGTATGTGGTGCTGAGGATCGAACCCGGGCCGCACGCATGCCAGGCGAGCGTGCTACCACTTGAGCCACATCCCCAGCCCCCAATCTCAGCAATTTAGCGAGGTCCTAAGCCCTGTCTCAAAATAAAAAGTAAAAAGGGGCTGAGAATGCAGCTCTGTGGTAAAGCACCCCTAGGTTTAATTCCTGCAAACATAACAAAACCAACCACATGGGGCTGGGGGTGTGGCTCAGTGGTAGAATGTATGCTTAGCTTCAATCCCCAGCACAACAAAATAAATCAAAGCAAATAAACCAAAAACCAAATAAGTGCATAAATGAATGAACAGATCCTGTATCTAGCTTCTGATATCAATAAATGACAACTATTGTTATCTCTCTCATTGAGTCCTGTATTTCTCCTGTATTTGCAACTCCCCTCTGGCTCCTATTTATCCAGGATGGAAACCTGGCTTACCCTGAGGTCTCTGCTATTCCCACCGCACCCTTTCTCAGTGCTTGTTGTCAGATCTGATCTTAGAACTCCTATCTGCTGCTGCCATCCTTGTCAGGGTTTTCTCTGAGCTCTCATCTTGATAACACTGTCCTTCAGTCTATTTTCCTCAGAAACAGGAGGGCCTAGTAAGCACTTGGGCAGGACTGAAGGAAGCAGTAAGAAGTCTAATGTGCTTACCAACCTCAGGGATGAGAGCCTTCTTAAATTCTGCGCTCTAGGGATTTCATCTGCCCCTCCTTCAGTCTTCTTTCTTTCTTTTTCCTATTAGGCCTCTAAGGATGGAATCCAGGGCCATATACACACCAGGCAAGTGTTCCGGTCCACCACTGAGTCGCACCCTTGCCCCTCACCACAGCAAGATACAACGCTGCTTCTCTACTCAGGGCCTTCCCAATGCTCACTTCTACTGAAGTGGTTAAGTCATCTTCTAGCTTCCAATTCCCTTTAATTCTTTCTACTCTTGTCATGTTCTAGCCAAACCCAAACATTTTCTGTGTTTCATAGCCTTTGGGCTTTCCCATCTTCAGGCTTTTGCTTAATCAGTGGCTATTTCCTCTTCCCTATTTCCAAAGAATCACATTTTTCTAGACCTAGCTCCACCTCACTGGAGTCATGAATTCCTTCCAGATTCCCTTCAGGGCAAAGGTCCCCACTCCTCCTTATAGTTCCCTCAGAAATGATGGGTGCCTCACTTACTTGCCAAAGCCTTTCCACCTTATTTCTGTGAATCATGTACACATCTCTCTTCCCTCTATCCACCAGATCAGCCACATCAGAAATTATATGTGATTTTGTTTCGAGGTTTTCAGAGTCTCTCTTTTGTTCCTTGCCTCCAAAACTTGTCAGGTACTTAATTCACAGGCCAATGTCCCTCAGAGCACTAGTAAGGTCAGTATGCAGCCCCATTAATCTACTTTTCAAATGCCATTTGGGTCAAGTCAGGATTTGCTGTCTAAAGGTAAGGGACAGTGTAGAGAGCAGCAAGAGAAAAGTGCAGGAGACAGACTCTGGTTGTAGTTACTGCTGTATCACCTTCTGACAGTGAAGCCATTCGGGCCCATGCCTGTCCTCAGTCCTTCCTACAACTTTCCAAGAGACCAAATGCTTTTATTCAGTTTAGGACTGTCAGAAGACATACTGGTTAGGCTCAAAGAAAGTTTCTGGCATACCCTGACTAGTGGGAAACACTGGTCACATTTCCTTTCACCAGATTTGAGATTGGGCAAAAGGCAGAATCAGTTGTTGGTCTCCCCAAGAGCCACCAGAGGGCACTGGAGTCTCGGTGACAGGAAATTTCAGGGCAGGGATTTTTTTTTTTTCTTTTGCAGTGCTAGTGGTGGAACCCAGGGCCTTGAGCAACAGGGCAAATGCTCCACCCCTGAGCTACACCCTCAGTCCCAGGGCAGTGATTCTAATCAAGGTCAGAATCACCTGGAAGTCTTCCACCCTAACAGCTAACCTGGGTCGGTGGAATAGGACTCAAGGCCTGCACATTTTGAAAAAGTTCCTCATGTCAAGTCTGTGTGCACACTACTGAGAACCAACGTCCTGAGCTCCTCAGCTTGCTCTTTCTCCAGAAGCAGCACTAGTGGCTTGGTGGTAGAGCGCTTGCCTAGTGGCACTGGGTTTAATTTTCAGCACTGCATATAAATAAATGAATAAAACTGAGGTCCATCAACATCTAAAAATATATATACTAAAAAGAATAGAGGCAAGGAAGAGAGCACAGGGATTAAAGTTCAGAATGGTAAAATCTGGAAACAGGTAACAGGAGGCAGCACTGATATGATGGGAGGCAACCCAAGAAGCTCAAGAGGGGTCTGGCTCAAGTCCTGCCTTGGACATACCCATCAGTTTGACTGGGTCTAGTCATTTATATGTCCCTGGGCCTGAGTTTCCTCATCTGGAAATGAGGTTCATAATACTTCAATTATTCCCTTCCCTCCCTTTGTGCCAGGGATCCAACCCAGGGCCTCATGTATGCCAGACAACCACTTGAATTATACCCCTAGCTCAGTTTTCTTATATTTAAAAAAGGGAAAATGTGAAGTTCTATATGGGATACAAAAATTCCTTTAAATACATGGATTGGGACCTGCTCAAGATGGTGTAGAGCTGTGTAAGAATCACCTGTGGGGCTTTTGCTCATACCAGTGATGCCCCAGAACTATCAAATCAGATTGCCTAAAGATGGGACCCTAGCACCACTGTTTTAAAGCTTTCTGGTTCTTGAAACTACATAAACCCAAACTGGGGAGTCCTTCAGGTTATTTAATACAGCTCAGTGGTTTCCAGAATTACTTGGGAAAAGCTCAGTGTTTTCCAGAATTACTTGGGAAAACACTTTTCATATTGGTGGATGAACATAGGAAGGTAGATTGCCACTAGAGGCATTCAAACACAGATCAAAACATATAATATGAACATATACAGTAGCCTAAAACTCCATGGGTCAAGACTGAGCCCAAATGTCCCTTCTAGCCCATGGATTGTGGGAGGCCAACCTTACGGGTGACTGAGTTACACTCTCCAGCTAGGTGCTGAGGCGCTCAGTCACAGAAATGGGTGTGTCTTGCTACAGCCCCGTGGGTGAAGCTATGCTCACCTGTTCCTTTGTAATATAACCCCTTGCCCTGTTTAGGATAGAATCTTCCATGGAAGTGCCTTGTGTGTGTCCCCTCCTCTTACTGTGCCCTTGGGTGTGGCCTACCAGGTGTCAGTCAACCTTCTGACAGTGGACATCATGAAGATAGACTCAGCCCCTGAAACCTGACCCCTTGCCTCATTTGAATAGCTTCTCCTCAATAAAGGGGGTCAGCGCGTGCTCTCGCTCTCTCTTTCTTTCTGTGGACCCTTAAGGTCAGAGGAGCCGTCACAGCGACCCCAAAGAAAAAGGTATTTGTGTCTCTTGTGTGGTTATTTCGTGCAGCCCAGTTAGCCCAGTTTAACTGGAGTGACCCCTGAGCCTTTTAGTCGTGAGAACAGAAACCCGGCAATGGATATCCCCAGATGTTACTAGTAACAACAAAGCCCAGGATTGGCACAAAGGAGATGGGGCCAGGTGCCTACCTGCCTCTATTCTTCCCATGAAGAGACTGGCACGGTTGCCGTCAGTCTGCAGCTCATCTTCACGTTCCCCCTCCAGGTAAGTTCGCACAGGTAGTTCCTGGCCCAGAGTTCTCAGCTCTTGGTGAAACTTACAGTCAGAGAAGCTTTGGAGGAAGTCAAGCACCAGCAAGTTTGTGATGTACTCATTCCTGAGGTCTGAACCATTGCTGACCTAAGATAAAAGAGGAATTAGGAAGGCTCTTGGGAACCCAGGCCAGGGCCAGAAGCCCTCCCTGTAACTGAGCAGATAGTTCTATGGGGTACAGATGGTCTTGAAAGAACCTTACTGGCCTAAGAGGTGAATCTCATGTAGATTCAAGATCCCTGCAGCAATGCCTCCTGTAGATGCCAAAGAGAGAGCTTCAATTCTACAAGTGATTAATCCACCTTTTGCTTTACCTGAAATCTGTGGCTGGGGTGAGTTTCCTATGCTACAGTCTGATTCAGGGAATTCAGGCAAATATCATTTAGATGCCATCCATGTATTTACATTATTTTTTTTAAAGTACCAGGGATACTCCACCAAATAAAATCCAGCTTTCCTGGCTATTCTTCTAGAAGTTAGCAGCTCTTTCTTTTTCATAATCTCTTTTGTATGCCTAGGATGATACTGGGCCAACAGAAGACTCTCAATACATACTGGGGGTGGTAACCATAGATCAACATTGCCTTTGGCCTAGCTTGGTCTACTTCTAGAGGCTTAATTAATGAAAACCCCACAGAGTGCTCTGACCAGGAGGGGCTGGAGCACACAGTCCCCACTCACTGTCCATCTCTACTGGTAACACTTAAGCCGCATGCAGTTCCTGCAAATGCCTGCACTATGGGAGCCAGGAGGGGCCTTTCTAGCATGCTGACTGCATGTGAGGATGGTTTTTGAAAATAAAGGTATACCTATAGCATCAGTGGCACCATGTGCCCAGAGCAACCATAGCTCTAAAATAAAGAGGGAATAAGTAGTCTGGAAGGCTAGGGATTCCAAGACCTGTCCAGATGTATGCCAAATATTCACAGGGGCTGTAAGAACAAAGGAAGATAAAAGTGCTGGTGAAAAGATATTGTAATCCTCTAAGTCCTTAATAATTTGCATCAGAAAAACAAAACAACTTTTTATTTGTTTATTTATTTATTTATGTGGTGCTGAGGATCGACCCTAGCAACTCGAATGTGCTAGGCGGCCGCTCTACCATTTAGCCACAACCCCAGCCCCACAAAAAAGCATTTATTAGAAAGAAAAAAAAAAAAAAAAAAAACCAAAAAAAACCCCCAGGGCCAGTTTTTTTTTTTTTTTGTGGTACTGGGGATTGAACCCAGGGCCTTGCGCATGAGGTAAGCTCTCTACCAATTAAGCTATATCTCCAGCCCGGAGAAAAGTTTTTTAATAGGACAAAATAAATAAAACTGCTGGTACAGCAAGTACTTAGCATGCATGAGCCCTGGGTTCAATCCTCAACACCACCAAAAAAAAAAAAAAAAGGTTAAATAAAATATGGTTTTATTTAAAAATTGAGGGGCTAGGGTTGTGGCTCAGTAGCAGAGCACTTTCTTAGCATATGTGAGGCACTGGGTTTGAGCCTCAGCACCATATATAAATAAATCAAAAATAAGGTACATCTTTTAAAAATATGGTACTTGTGTATTATTGCTCTTTGGCTTTTACCTCTTCAGAATTACTTTCAAATAAAAGCAAAACTTTATGTAAAAGTTCTACTGAATCTAATTCTTACAATTCCTGTACTATGAGGCCAAGAGGGGACAAAACAGCTTAGAAACTCAAAAACCATGGCCATTCTGTCACAAGGAGATGTCCTGGTTAGAAGAGAAGAAAGGAACCCCAGGGCAGTATCATGGGTTAAGTGTGTCTCCACTAAAAAAAATGTTCAAGTCCTAACCCCAAGTACCCATAAATAGGATCTTATCTGGACATAATCAAGTTAAGAAACTTCATCAGAGTGAGCCCTAAGTCCAATGACTAGTGTCTTTGTAGGAGTAAAATATATATACTATGACATACAGGGAAATGCCACCTGAAGATAGAGGCCAGAATTGAAGTGATGCATGTCCAAGCTAAGAAACATCAAGGATCACTGGTAATGACAGAATCTCCGTCAGAAAGAGGGAGCAACCGCAATGATGACCTGATTTTAGGTTGCTGGTCACTAGAATTGTGAGGGAATAAACTCCTGGGTTTTTGTGTTTGTTTTTGGTGGTACTGGGGACTGAACTTAGACACTGAGCTACATCTTATCCCTTTTTGTTTTATTATTATTTTTTTGGTACTGGGAATTGAACTCAGGGGCACTCAATCACTGAGCCACATTCCTAGTCCTATTTTGTATTTTATTTAGAGAAAGGGTCTCACTGAGTTGCTTAGGGCCTTGCTAAATTGCTGAGGCTGGCTTTGAACTCGAGATCCTCCTGTCTCAGCCTCCCGAGCCTCTGGGATTATAGGCGTGAGCCACCGCGCCCAGCCCTAGCCCTTTTTATTTTTTGACACAGGGCCTTGCTAAGTGGCAGTAGCTGGCCTGGAACTGATATCCTCTTGCCTCAACTCCGGAGTTACTGGAATTATAGGTGTGTGCCACCACGCCCAGCTTAAACTCTTGTCCTTAAAAGCCACCCAGTTTGTTTCAGCAGCCCAAGGAAATTAATAAAGGTGGTCTTTGCCCAAGGACCACCTTTTGATCCAGACTTGGTAAACAAGAATCTGAAGCCTGAATGTAAGGGCACAGCAGCTGCCAGCCATGCTAGATCAGGTTATCCAATACATTCTATAATCTTTATTACATAAAATGAAGAGAGATGGCTGGCAAAGGAAAGGGAAGTATTTCATGTTAGAGAACGAGGGATCTGGAAATGTTTAGTTGCAGTGAGCTGAAAAGCCAAGAGGACAGGCAAGTGCCATGAAAAAGGCAGTGGTTTGGGAAACAGAATTTATTTCATTCCATGAACAAACAGAGCTTGTGACAAGCCAACTATGGAACTATACCTCTTTTCAATCTTCCAGTAATAAAAGTTGAAGAAGGAATTTAATATTTATCTTTTTAGATCATAGAAAAAAAATATATTGAGAGAAATTAGGAACACTTAGGAAATTCTGCTATATATTTTACATAACTGATGCAAATGAAGTAAAAATAATTCTTATGATATAGAATCAGTTCTGATGCAGAGAAAAAGACGGAAACCTCCAATGCATTTGATAAATTAGAATAAATCTGGTGTTCAAACCTGGCAAAAAGAACACTAAATAAGAGTAACAAAAAGTGAAACCAGTCTCATTTGTTTTTACAAACATATATATCTCAAGCCAGATATGGTGGTGCATGCCTGTAGTCCCAGCTACTCAGAAGCCTGAGGCAGGAAGATCGCCAGCCTCAGCAACATAGACTCTGTCTCAAAATAAAAGATTAAAAGAGAGATACAGCTCAGTGGTAGAATACTTGCCCCAGTAAGGGCCTGAGTTTTATTTCTAGTATTGCAAATAAATTCAAAGAAGAATGCTGAGTGAAATAAGCCAGTCACAAAAAGATAAAAACTGTATGATTTCACTTATATGAGGTCCTTGAAGAGACCTTCACAGAGACAGAAAGTAGAATGGTAGCTATTGGGGGGCTGCTGTCGGGGAGGAGTTAAGTTAGTGTTTGATGGGGACAGTTTCAGTTGAGCGAGATGAAAATGTTCTGGAGCTGGATGGTAGCAATGGTTGTACAACAACAATGCATGTAATAACCCTGAACCACACACTTAAAAATAGTGAAGACAGGCCAGGCATGTTGGCGCACGCCAGTAATCCTTGTGGCTCAGGAGGCTGAAGCAAGGGGATCACAAGTTCAAAGCCAGCCTCAGCAAAAGCTAGGTACTAAGCAATTCAGTGAGACTTGTCTCTTTAAATAAAAATACAAAATAGGGTTGGAGATGTGGCTCAGTGGTCGAGGGCCCTAAGTTCGATCCCCATTGCCAAAAAAAAAAAAAAAAAAAAAAAGTGAAAATGGCTAATTTTGTATTATGGGATCTTACCATAATTTTTAAAATTTTGGAGTGGGGGAAAATATCTGAGAAAGTCAAAGTATCTACAATAGGATGAAAGTTCTGACAGGGACAGAAAGACCAAACCCCAAAATGTAAGAGAAAATTTTTGCTCAGTGGTTCAGTGAGAACCCCAACTCTGTAAAACACTGGGTAACCTTCAGTGTCTCAGCTTTTTCACCCTGAAGGTAAAGAAAAAAACAACAGTAGGAGTAATGACATTCACCCTGGGACCTTATGAGAGGAAAGATCGTCTAGGGTGCTATGCAAGGAGGATGTGGCAGTTGTGTTTTAACCTGAAGACATCTCAAGAATATGGGAGAGAAGGCAACACTTATTGGGGTCCTTTCTTGTCCCTGCCAGAGTTCTGTTTCTATTCTATTTATCCAGATATAATCTGGATAAATTCTTCTCCTTGCACTCTGGGGAAGGAAAAAAAAAAAAAAGAATATAGGAGAGGAAGTAAATGTGGTGGACTGGAAGACACAATGGGCAAGTTCACCCGGCACCAACATAGAATAAACTATCCACACTGATAACTGGTCCTTATGGGGACGAGTGGGAGCTCTGAAATCTCTTCTGTTCATGCAACTGACATCTCTCCAGAGCCCACTAGGTAGTGGGCTCTCCAGTTATCAACCTGAAAAATCCCACAATTCCCATTCTTCTGAAAGGATATTCAACAAGTACATACTGAGACCTGCTATGGTTTTGATTTAGAATGCCCCCCAAAAGTTCTGTGTTGTCCTTGTGTTGAAGGCTTAGTTCCCAATGCAGCAGTATTCAGAGGTGGGGCCTGTGGGAGGTGGTTGGATCATGGTGGCTCTGAGCTCATTAGTGGATTAATCCATTAATGGATTCAAAACTTAATGTGCTTTTTTGAGTGGTAGTAGAAAAACTTTAGGAGATAGGGCCTAGTTTGGGGAAGCAGCCACTAGAAGATTATCTTTGAAGGGTATATCCTGTCCCCTGCTTTACTACGGAATCAAACCATGAGTCAAAATAAATCTTACTTTTAAGTTCAATTTTTCAGATATTTTGTCACAGTGACAGAAAGCCAACTAACACAAGACTTTTCAGGCACCATGGATACTGTCCATAGGCTCAGGGATGTTGAAATGGTAATTCTGTTGTAGATTTGTGGTTCCTCTTTGCAGAGCTGTCAGATGGGAACTGGGGTCAGGCTAGATCAGCACCCATAGGCAAATGCATGAAGAACAAGCCTACACTCAACCCTCTAACATCCCCTTTCCAATAATTCCTCCAAAAGAATTCAGGAGTCTGACCTCAGAGTCCATGGCACAGGCAGCACCTGGTAGCTCCAACTCAGTTTTGGTTCACGGAGGTCCAAGATCACCACCTAGAAAAGGACACACATAGATGGTGGGTGGCTGTATCCTGAAGGGATGCCCCACAGGGGAGAATGGAGAAGACGGGCCTCAGCTCTGGCTCAGGAACTTTGGCCACTGCAACCGAGCAGCTGAGGTCACTGTTGCCAGCAGGTAGTATTCAGTCAGGTTCCTTTCTTTCCCCTTGGCACAGAATTGTGGGCCACAACCTAGTGAGCAAACTGAAGTTTTCCTGGATCTTCCCTGAGACTTGCCAGACCCCTTAGAACTCCCCAGGGCCAGTCCTCCATCCAAGAGTTAACTCTCTTATTCCATTCTCAGGAAGACCTCATGGATCAGACCAATGGGCTGATCTGGCTTACAAACTATTTTAAAGTAAATATTTACATTAGTAAGTTTCCTACAAGAATATACTCAGTAAATAAAGTATATCTGCCGCAGTCTGTCTGGGCACAAATAACCGAGCCGCCACAAAGCCTTGTAGGTTCAAACAGCAACTCTTCATTCCCGAACACACACCGGCACTCTACACACACTTCCCGGGAATACACTCCCTCCCCTCCACCGGGCTGCACGCTCCAGTTCTCCAAGAACCCTGCGAGAACTCCACAGGAACTCCAAAGTAGCAGGCGCCCTATTACTGGTGTAAAGGTCTAATATACAATTGAATCAATCCAGCATCATCTTAATGGCTTGCCTCTCAACCATTACTTCTGGCAAAATGCCAGGGGCCATTCCGACTGGCTGTGGAAATCTATCTCCTCAGGATGACAACTATCACAGCAAATCCTTCCAATAACAACAAAGATACCAACCCATTTCTTTGACAAGTTTTATGATCTTGCATTCCACACAATGTTGCTGTGCATGCAGCATTGATCCTGACTTAAAAGGGAGAAAATATAGTTTTAGGAAGAATTTTCTTGAGGCCACAGAACTAGTAAGTGACAGGAGGGGGCAGATCAGTTCCTTCGATCAGGTCACATGGCTTCAATTGTTCATATTATGAAGAAAAAATTTCCAATAAAAATGATGAAAAAAGAGACTGCATTTGACATACAAAAGATTAAGTCTTACATTGGACACACATGACAAACTAAATGACCCACTACTGACTAGACAAATGCCAACTGGGAACTGAGGTAAAAAAATATGTCCTGGCCAGGCAAGTGGTACATATTTAAAATCTCAGCTATTTGCACAGCTGAGGCAAAAGGATCACAAGTTCAAGGTCAACTCAGGCAACTAAGCAAGACTCTCAAAAGTGAAAAGGTTGGGGACTTCATGCAGTGGTAGAACAACTCCAATACAGGAAAAACAAACAAACAAACAAACATAACTATTATAGACTGTTGGGGATGAACATATACTTTGAAGAACAGTATAAATATTCCTCAAAATAATAAAAATAGAATTACCATATGATCCAGCTATCCACTCCCAGGTATATATCCAGAGGAAATGAAATTGGCACACAAAAGATACATCTAGCTGGGTGTGTTGGCACACATCTGTAATCCTAGCAGCTCTAGAGGCTAAGGCAAGAGGATAGCAAATTCAAAGCTAGCCTTAGCAACTTAGTAAAACCTTGTCTCAAAATAAAAAATAAAGAGAGCTGGGGATATGGCTCAGTGGTTGAGTGCCCCTGAGTTCAATCTCCAGTACCAAAAAAAAAAAAAAAAAAAAAAAAATCTATCTACCTACCTACATATTTATTGCTATACCATTCACAATAACTACTATATGTAATCAGCCTATGGACTCATTGATGGATCAATGGATAAAGAAAAGTGGTGTGTGTGTGTGTGTGTATAAATATATATACATACATACACACACACACATATATATCATACATACATATGCGTGCGCGCACACACACATAAATGGAATAATATTCAGCCATAAAAATCAATGATAGCCTATCATTTGCAGCAAAATGGATGGAACTAAAGAACATTATGTTAACTGAAATAATTCAAATGGAGAAAGATGCATGTTGTAGCTCAATGATAGAGCACCTGCCTGGGATGTATGAGGCACTGGGTTCAATCCTCAGCAACACATTTAATTAATTAATTAGTTAGTTAATTAATGGTTTAAAAAATGCCCTATCTTAAAAAAAAAAAAAAAAAAGAAAAGAGTTGATGCAGGCTAGAAGTGTGGTTCAGTACAAGCACTTTACTAACATGAGCCAGTACAGAGCACTTTACTAACATGAGCCAGTGAGTGAGGCCCTCTGGGTTCAACCTCCAGCACTACAAAAAAAAAAAAAAAAAAAAAGCGCAAATGTTGACCTGAATGTAAAACAGTGATTACTAGAGGCTGGAAAGGTGGGAAGGATAGATGGAGATTGGATTAAAAAAAAAAAAAACCATAAGAAATAAGTCCCAGTGTTCCATAGATCAGTGGGGAAACTATAATTCATAAGAATCTATTATATATTTTATGAATAACTAGAAGAGAAGAATTCTAAGGCTTCAAACACAAAGCAATAAGATAAAAATCTTAATTACTCTGATTTGATCAGTATACATTGTACACATGTATTAAAATATCACACTGTTCCTCATACTTATATACACTATGTATTAATCAAATAATTTTTAGATGTTTATAAGAAATGTCAATGACCCTGATTTTGTGTGTGTGTGAGGGGGGTACTGGGGATATACACAGGGCCATACACATGCTAGGTAGATGCTCTATCACTGAGCTTTACCTCCTGTCCAACTACCCTGATTAGATCACTACCCACTTTAAATTATCACATTGTACCCCATAAATTTGTACAATTAAAACAAAAATAAAAATATATCCATACAATTGGATACACATAAAATCATTAAACAGAATAAGAGTTTTGTTGTGTATCGGTATTAGATGTCCAAGAGGGCTAGGGATGTGCTCAAGCGGTAACGTGCTCGCCTGGTATGGGCAGGGCACTGGGTTCGATCCTCAGCACCACATAAAAATAAAGATGTTGTGTCCACCAAAAACTAAAAAATAAATATTAAAAAATTCTCTCTGTCTTAGTCTCTCTCTTAAAATAAAAAAAATAAAAAAGATGTCCAAGAGACTAAACAAAAACGTCTGTGGAATAGTTGGAATAGGGTAATTCTATTTAGCAAGTATTTGTATAAGTGAGTTTACACAACATATCAGGTTAAGCCAAATAAAATTTTTATTTTGTAGGGCAAAAACAATACTGGCAATTTCATAGGGTTCCTACATGCATAGGAAATAAAAAATAAACAGGAGAATGAATAATCAACTTGTCCTGCCTGGGGAAGAAAGGAAGAGGCCAGGAAGGAGGCTGACCATAACAGGGATACTCAGCCTTCAAAACCAGGCATGGACCACCCCACTCTCAGCACTTGCATTTCCTGTCTCAGATGCTCACTGGCCTCAGGCACCCTGCACAGCTGGAGGCTACGCTGGCTCTCCCACTGGGATATATTTTTATTTTTGTCTTAATTGTACAAATTTATTGGGTACAGTGTGATTATTTAATACATGTATACAGTGTGTAATGATCAAATCAGGGTGGTTGGACTGGGGGTGTAGTTCAGTGATAGAGCACCTGTCTAGCTCTACCACTGGTTGGTGGGTATGGTACTTGTTTGACAGAAAAAGGTCCAGAAGCAAATGATACAAGTGTGTATGGACGAATGGAAGGATGGCAGCTCAAGGGCAAGGGGAAAACTCAGAATCATTACCAGCCTCAAGTCAAAGATTAAACAGAACCTACTCCTCATGAAAGAGGCCACAGAGATCAAGCCATTTTCCCAGTCACTGCCCAAGTAGTGGCACAATGGACAATAACCCAGGCCTCTACCTCAAGGTCTGAGCTCTTTGTCTTGTTCTACCACATCTTTTCAGACATTTGTCATGGCAGGGATGTAGTTCAGTGGTACAGAACGTGCCCAGCAAGTGTGAGGACTTGGGTTCTATCTCCAGTGGGGTTCAATCCCGAGCACTAAAAGACAGAAGCCGGGTGGGCAGCAAACATTGATCAACTTCCTTCTAGATTTTAATACTCAAGCTCGTAAATCTACATGGAGACTTTCATATATTGCTACTTTCACTCATTTTGGTCATTTTCTCACTTAAATAGTCTTTTGGGGCTGGGGGTGTAGCTCAGTAGCAGAAAGCATTCACAAAGACCTTGGTTCAATCCCCAGGACCACTAAATAAACAATCTTCAAAAATATTCTAATGCCTACAACTTAATGCACCAGTTCTCAACCAGGGATGATATTGATCTTCAAAAGGCCATCTAGCGGGGCTGGGGCTGTACCTCAGTGGCAGAGTGCTTGCCTAGCGCATGTGAGGCACTGGGTTTGATCCTTAGCACCACATAAAAATAAACAAATAAAGGCATGCTGTCCATTTATAACAACAACAACAAAAGTCATCTAGCAGTGTCTGGAGGTAGTTTTGATTGTCAGAATGGGGAGAAGGGGCTCCTAGCATCTAGTAGGCAGGGGTCAGGGAAGCTGTGGAATATCCTACAGTGGTTATAGCAGCCCTTCACAACTTATCCAGCCCAAAATGTCAACAGTGTCCCAAACTGAAACCCCTATTTGTGTGTGTGTTAGTGTATCACACACAACAAAATATAATACATCTCCATCTCCTGTTATTGGACATTTAAATAATTTGAGTATTTTCACCACTGAAAAATAGAGCTAAGTCAGCTGGGAGCCAGAGCACACTCCTGTGATTCCAAGTACTTGGTGGCTGAGGTAGGAGAACTGCTTGATCCCAGGAGTTCCAGGCCACTCTGGGCAACATAGCAAGACCCCCATCTCAAAAACAAACAAAATAATCATGACAAATACCCTGCTGTGGCATTTTCCTATTAAATCCAGAATCACATGATGCCAGATGTGAAAGTAAAATAGACCTTGTGTACAGGTCTCATGGTAGTCAGGGGACTGTGACTATGGCTCAACTTGGGCTGTGAGGACATAGGCAGGCTCCTCTAGGACAAAACCTAGAAAGAATT